GATGAAACCAAACTGACAGCTAGACACAGATGCACTGAGCAAAAAGTCGAAGATTTTATCAAAAATTATTTTTTCAAAAACTTTCGATATAGAGGAAAGCAGAGAAATGGGTCTATAATTAGATATGACAGTTTTGTCCCCAGATTTAGGGATAGGGGTAATGTAGTGATCTCGCCACTGAAGGGGAATAGAGGACTGGGTAACACATAGGTGGAAGAGATGATGGATTGGTTCTAGAAGAGCTGTGGCAGCTTTCTTGAGTATAATTGGTGGAATGCCATCCCCTCCCATAGCTTTATCGCTCTTAATGAAACAAAGAGCTTCAAATGTATCATGTAAAGAAATGTCAATACTACAAAGTGACCTGTCAGGTAATGACTGTGGTGGAATAGCTGGAGAAGAGGAACTATTGTCATAAACAGAGTGAAAGTATTGATTGCATAAATTAGCTATGCTTGAGGGAGTGTCAGCCACACAGGAGTCAAGAGACATGATAGAGGGTAAACGGGGCTGACTAGAAAAGGAACGGACATATCTAAAAATACCTGAGTCGTTATGTGAGACAAAGTTATGCACAAGCCTCTTCTCATAAGCAACACGGGCATCACACATGTTAAGTTGAAGTAGACACTCAGCATGGATTAAACGATGGAAAAGCTGAGGGGATGGAAGATTCTTATAACGCTTGTTTCATATAAACAGTATTTTTGTTGTTGAATTGCACTTTTCCCTTCTTCCTTCTCTTTTTACTGGTTTTATTGTATTATATAATCATTATAAGACATGTTCAATAAATAAAATATGAATAAAATAGAATTATATGACAAATTTGCAATACATGACTGTATTTCCACACTCCTTGCTATGAATGTCACATCACTTTAAGCAATGAACAATCGTTGACCTTTGGAAATCATAGATGAGCATATTATACCTGTATCTGGACTTACATTGTTGATGCTCTCCAACACTGCATTTACTGCTTTGTAGCTGATCCTTTAGGTACCTAAGTATGGCACAGGAACCTAATGTTCCAATACTTTCTTTCTTACCCTTCCAGCCTCTAAAATGCATTTGTAAGTCAATTGGGCTTGTTTAATTTGGTTAAAAGTCGTTTCTGCATTACACACGTGAAAACATGTGTGATGGGCGGGGTCTTTTGCACATGATATTCTCATTACGTCACTACCCACGTGGTTGCTGTCAGAACAAGACTACATCAACAGGGGCGGATCTAGGGGGAGAGTTTGTGGGGTTGCAACCCCCCCAAAACATTCTAACTCAAAAAATTTTAATGTTTTTGTTGTTGCAACAGTGGTAGAAGTGCTAACTACCTAGTTTATATAGCAACATTACTGTGGTTAATGAATATAATTAACAAAGAATAAACTCCAAAAATGGTGGAAAAGTTCATTTTCACGTGATTTTAACCACAAAATGGCGCCAAAAAGGGGGTGTGGCCAAAATCGCGGCGCGCTTTGCGCCATTTTCTTTTTTAACCCCCCTATTTGCAAAATCCTGGATCCGCCCCTGATCAAGCAGTGTACCAGACCCTTCCCTGCTGTCCACCCCAATGACTAGGCTGGGGAATGGTCTGGCTAGTGAGACTATCTTATGGCCTGGTTTCCACAGTCAGTGCGCTTGTTATTACAGTACAACACGCCATTTTTATACTTAACAATAACTACAATGAATATTTATTAAAATAATGACATCATTATGACAAACTGAATTTTGATTGGTCACGTCGAATTTCTGACGGCTGCACAAAGTCTTGTTAAGCATTGTACCAGACCCTTCTCCCACAGGGGTTGGGTCTGGGTGGCCAGACTACTAGCTGGCATGGAAAGGTCCTGAAGTCATCTTCTACCATGTCTACTTGCAATTGACCAATCAAATTGCAGGATACCAGGTTTCTAAATCTATTACGTACCTCCTGGGAACACTTAAAAAACCTCCAGCGAACACTTAGAAACCTGGCACTCTACGCTTATGCTCTTATTAGTCCTTTTGTCAAGCTTGGTTGACTTGTTACTGGCCTGGCCTTTAGATATGATGTATGTGTGTCAACTGTGGTCTTCTAATCATATTATCAG